TAGCCTTTCAACCTATTTGCAATTTATTTCCCCCTCCGGGGATCTTTTGATATACATATACTTTACCGTGTCTATCCGTCCCAGGAGTCCTACAACGGTATCGTCGACTCCGTTACAGTCGCTTCTCACTCGATCGAATGATCAAGCCTCGGCGAGCTCAACAGTTTGCGATCACTGCAAGAAACCAGGCCATTGCGTCAACAACTGCTGGGTCAAATACCCTGAAAAAGCCCCGAAGTCACACACAGCCCACATGACCGTTCAAGACAACTACAACCAACTCAACGATCCAACCGATTTCTCTCACTTCAGAACAGCCGACGGCAAGCTCCATCACGTCGACGAAATGAGGTTTGAAGGCGTTCAATACTTCTAATTAAAAACCAACCCCAGTTTTTATTTATTCCCTCAACCGATCAAGGTTCAAATCTCATTCCACCCTTCTCACATCAATCATTCCCATCTTCTCACCTTCTTCACTCATCACCGAACAAGTTCTTTTTCATTCTAAGGTTTTTTAGGTCTGAGTAGCGGGGGGTGTTGGAATTTCGTCTCTTTCTCCTCATCCCTAAAAAATCCTTCTGTTACACCTTTCTGTTTTAATGATATTTAGATGAAAAATCATTAATTTTACTGTGTCTTGTAAGTGTCTGAGTGGCACCTTTTTCATTGTCTAGTGCTGCAATCCCTGTAGTCTTCGAACCCGGGTCTAGTCTTTATCAATGATTATTTGCTCCTGTCATCTTTTTCATGCATGTGTCAAATTGTTATTCATTTCAATATTCATTATTGTTCTCACCCACATGTTTAACCTCTTGTATGTAGACTACTTAACGCCTAGTCTCATCTAAGTAAAACACCATCGGTTCTCTCCTTCATTTTTCGACCCTTTGAGCCGTTCCAACAAAAAACAATTTTGTTGCCACAATTTCTCCTGAAAAAAATTCCCCTTCCTCGGTAAAAATTTCTTCAGTTAGTGGGCCAAAAATTCACGCTAACGGTAACTTTTGTGTAGCGTAGCTTAAAAAGCTAACACTACGCTACACTAACCCTACGGTTAGTGTAACTGGCCCACCGTTGACAATATAGCCATTTTTGCAATTATTAGTTAGGGCTAGAACCACAATCCAGCTGTTGTGTAAATAGACTATATAAGCAGGCCTTTTCCCCCCCATTTCACTTTCCTCATGCAATCCCAGCATCAAAATATATATATCTCTTGAAGATTTCAACCCATTCATAGGGGTGATCTCAAACAAGTATCTCATCATTACATAGCCTGGCCAGCTGGTGTTCATCACTCCCCCCCCCTTCACCAACACCTGTGATCTTAATCAGGTTCCTTGCAAGTTGCATGGCTGGTGTTATTGCATGTCATCTATATCAGTTGATCTAGGTCTGATAGAGACTACTTGTAACCCCTTGTCCCGCGGGTTCACAAACATTTCACACAATATTACGTAATCATCAACTTGGACTTAATTATTATACTCATCGCCTCCCCGCCTTCCTAGCTCGGTAGAGATCTGACGTTAACCTCTACCGAGCTAGGTAAGATAAAACACTTCTCTTTTCTTTCACCCTTTCTTATTTGTTTCATTTCATTTCTTTCATCTTTTCTTAATTATTCTCAATGGTGTATATAGAGAGATCTGACGTTAACCTCTATTGAGCTAGCTCTTAAATTTGAAATCTACGCTTTGGTTCTAGAAATTCTCTCCCTCAGGCTATTGAGCCTGTTGTATATTGACAACAGTGCAGAGCTAGAATGTAGCTCTTACACTTTTTTTTTCTTAAACCAACCAACCAATCTCATAACTGTTGACCAGTTCATGTCAACTCGAAGGACAACAACGGCCGACGATCTCCTTTCTCCATTATCTAACCCAGACGCCACCTTTTGGGCCGCAAACACTGAGAAGCGCCGTCTGAAAGCGGCCCTTATTGCTCAAGCTACCCAAACCGCCGCTAACGAGGTTGATCCAACCAGCCTACCCCTACCTTCATCCAACCCCACCTCGTGACCCCCTTCACCTCGGCCATTGCCGCCGTTGATCGACAGCCATACGGACCTCGCCACCAACTCCTTGGCCATTCTGCGTCCGGACCTTCCCTCATCATTGATATCTAGCCGACTGGACCTTTCGTCCACTGCTGTGGTTGGTTCACGTCTGGACCACTTGCCCTTTCTCCCTCCCTCGTCTCTACCGCAGCACGAGACCGTTTCACGTCCAGTAACACCAACTGCGACTAATCGGCCGGACCCTCCACCTGTTTTTCCCCCACCCTCCCCCTTTTTGACAGCTACCGCTGTGGTGTTCTAAATGGTACAGGCCCCCTCAAGGTCAAATTTCAAGTTTTAATTCTCAACTTTCAATATCATCAAGACTCAAGATTTCAACAATTTCACCTCAAATCCCCTCTCAGTCCAACAGTTTTCTTCATTATATTATTTTACCATGTTTTTGTTTCCTTTTATTATTTCAGTTCCTCTTATTATTTTATTTCATCTTGATTATATTTTATTTCATCTTGATTTTATTTTATTCCATCTTGATTTTATTTTTATTTCATCATTTTATCATCCTTTATTACATTTTTCAAATCACCTACCCAGCACACAGTCTTGTTAAATTTTCTTGGTCCTAAGACATCTTAGTATGTTGGTTTATTCCTCTCTTGATTGTTTTGTTTTGTTTTGTTTGTTCTGTTCTGTTCTGTTCTTTTTTGTGTTGTGTTGTGTTGTGTTGTTTTTGCTTTTTGATTGAGTTGTGTGTAGTTAGGGATGTGATGACATGTCTGTGACATGTCACTCCCCGGAGTCAAAGTTCAGTTTGAACTGAGATGATGGGGAAGGATGGCACTCTGATCTGATCCAAGATAGACCCATTAAATTTTATTGATCTCTTCATTCTTGATACCTCTGATCCTCATACACATCCTCAAGCTCACTCAAACTCAACAACCGCCACAGAACTGAACTTCTGGTGTCCCCTCTCAGAAAACCAACCAACCCCAACGCATTTTGTTCAGATCACAGCTCACTCATCCAGACCGCATTTGAAGGCAGCCCTCAAAGCACCATCCCTTCAACCAACTGCCTACCGCCTGGCACAATAGGAGTTCCACATTTGGTCCCCCCGAGCCGGGGTCAAACCAGCGACCACCCCCAACGAGCCAGGCGTAGGCAGTTGGTTGAAGGGATGGTGCTTTGAGGGCTGCCTTCAAGTGGGGTTGGATGAGTGAGCTGTGATCTGAACAAAATGTGTTGG